GCGACAGGTAAGATGGCCTCCAACACCGACATTCACATGACAGCTAATCCCCGCAGCTCATCGACCATTACGAAGGAAACTTGATTCTCAGCCAGCTCGAGCTGGTCACGCTTGCTCTCGAGTGCTTGCATAACCGCGACACCACGGAGCATCTCCCCGGTGATCACAGCTACGCATTGATGGGTTTGCTCCGTGTCAGGCCACAAATCGATCGCACAGACTCCGCCTTCCAGGCGTTCGCTCGGTACGTCGTGACTCGACTACATTCACTCGTCGCATTGCTAAGATCTCACAGACTCTCTCTTGCGAATGGCAGCGATCAGCTCCTCGAACGCCTGATCTGCATGCTGCCCAAACACCCAGACCAGCCTTGGCATTCCATGGACGACGCGTATAACGCCAAGCTCTGGGACATACTGCCACAAGATGTCGGCATCGCCGGTGTCGGAGAAGACGACAGCATCATCCTTGATGGTTGTCGGGCTGCGAACGTTCGGTGGAAGTCTTTTACACCTGTCGCTCACACCCGGCGTGACTCTTGGAAGCGCTTTCTAGCAAAGGGAATGCTCCGCCTCAGCGGGGTCATATTCATCGCTGCATGTGTGCTTATCGCGTTTCCTGGCCCCACGAACACTATCGGCATCATCTTGCTACTCTACTCCCTGGTAGTCATGGGCCTATCGCCATGGCTTCTACGCCTTCTCTTCCTTGGCAAGTTCTGGGAACAGCAATGCTGGTTCTTTGGCTTCGAAGGTTACATGGACCTGGACACGATCGAGAGCCAGATCTTTGGTGGCAGGCTTGGGCGCATGAAGTGGACCGTATGTATGCTCTCGTCCTGTTATTGACGTCGTGCTAATCTTGTCGTCGCAATTCATAGGCAGCAGCTAGCCCGTTATCGAGACATCATCGCAATATTCACGGCGAGTGCGTTCCCGTCGATCCGACTTCCGATCCTGCTGTCGCAGCTCTCGTACATCGAGCGAAGACTGCTGGACCAGGAGATCAACGCGTCTTTACCCTCGTCGACACCGGTAACATGACTGCAACGCTCTTTCTCGCGGAGCGTCCACCCGTGTGCTTCCTCATGGCCGGCTCTGAAGGCGGTATGAAGCGCATCATCGGCTGTTCTTACGACTGGACTACCGCGACGATGTATAGAGAGACTGTGTTACGGATGGGGACCCAGTTCGAAGACAAGATGCAGCGTGTTGGTCGCGTGAAGATCGGCTTCAAGCGTAAGCAGCATCCTTTTGGACCGTTCGATCAGGTCGGTGAGGCGGTGGGAAAGGAGATGCAGTGAGACCCGCTTTTCTTACATCTTTTGTCTTGTGTGTCAGGCTACATTCGGCCATAATAGGAGTGATCGATGGCGGATCAGGTACTTTACAGTCTTCGCGATATCCTTATCCGCTTCAAGTAGTTGGACAATTTCATCGTCATCTTCATGGCCTTGCATCATTCAAAGCTCGTGTAGGATCCAATGCTATGTCGACGTCTCAAGCGTACTTGGGCCCTGGGTGTAGTATTGATCAGTGCGGCGAAGCACTCTGCTGGTGGTGTGGACTGGACTCCTTCACCGATGCAGTTAGCTTGACCCACGCTTTTGCTACTAACGAGTGACTCTCCCCACACTACTCCAAGTTGTTGATTGCACTTTAGAGTACTTGTTAGTGGTAGACTGAGCTATTAGATGCACAACAAGGCGCGTGGACGACCATCCGATAAGACCCTGAATTCTCGCGACAATGCAGTGGCTATTCTTTCTTCTGTCAACAGCCTCCATGGCTAGTACATCATATGCAGCACCACTCGATAGCCCGACTTCAGGGCTCTATGAGAACACAACAGCGGTAGCCAACGCGGAAGTCAACGTGGCTTCCACAAAGTACGTTTGGTCTGGTCTCGGCGACTCGTGGGCAGTAAGTACCTGAATACGCTATCGTCTCGTCGAAGACGTTCGCTGAACGTGGAATAGAGCGGCGTCTCATACGGCTTCTTCGGAACCACCGACTACGACGGAAACATGGACCACTGCCTCCGCATCAACCACGCCTACGCCCCGCAGATGAGCCACGACAACTCCTGGATCCCCGAAGGCCGCGAGCAAGAGTTCCACTTCCAGTCCTGCTCAGGAACCCGCTGGCGACAGATCGACGCAGAGCCGCATTTGGGCCATATCCAGTTGAACGACGTCCCTGACAACGTCGACATGATCGTGTTACAGGCCGGCGGCAACAACGCGAACTTCGCTCGCGTCGCATACGCATGTATCTTCGCGCCCCAAGGAGCGGATTACGGTCCCGAGTATCCCGATCAAAACGGTCAGTGTTTCAAGGAACTCGAGGCGACGAAGCAGTACATCCTGGGTACAGGACGCGACCAGCTTTTCCAAGATGCGCGATGGATTGTCAATCAAGTCTTTGATCATCCCAAGACTAAGAAGAACCCCAAGTTCCGGCTCTTTGTAGTTGGCTACTTCCAGTTCTTCTTCGACGAGGGCGGCGAGGGCGATTGGTGTAGTAATGTGAGCTTCGGTCTGCGGTCTAGTGATCGTCCGAGGCTTAGTCTTGCTTTGAGGAAGCGCGTTAATGCGCTTATTCGCTATCTTAATAAGGCCATCGAAAATGGAGTCAAAGGCAGCTTCCATCCGGAGCGGGCGACCTTTGTCGATACCGACCAGAATCTTGAAGGACACCGTTTCTGCCAACCTGGTCATACGCTGTATGACCAATACTTTGGCGACAATGTATATCTTTGGAACATGTCTCCGAGCGGTATCTTCAGTTGGCAGGGCGAGATGGTGGGAGGTATAGACGATGGCGATGGTAACGCAGAGGAGGGACGCCAGCCGACGCAAGCTGAATTCGAGCACTGGCTTGAGACCGGTAGATTTACCGATGACCCTCGCGAGATCGAGTTCAACTTGACTGCCGCGCTCCAGTCGGGCAACGATATAGCCATCGCAGATGATCCAGATAACCTGCAATGGCTCGATATGATCGGCCCGTATCAGCAGAACTACCCCGGTTTGACACTTCGACCTTTCCACCCCACCGAGAGCGGCTACCGTGAGATGGCCAAGGCGATCATGGCGAAAGTGAAAGAGAAGCTTAAGATCGATTACCCGCCTAAACCTGCTCCAGCTCCGACTCCATCAAAGCCGAAGGCCACCCATTCGATCCAGATCTTGCTGGCTGGCTACGGTGCTAGCAAGTGGTGGCAGATCTACCAGGGCCCGCTAGGTGTACCAGTCAAACTTTGTGTCGACGATGGCCGCTTCAAGGATGCTGTCATTGACGAAGAAAAAATTAAGAAGGACATGTATCAGAACGACGCCAATATCCACGATCCACCTTACGTGACGGCGGGCAAGAAGTGGCCTCTTAAGATCGATGGCGAGGAAGACTGTTCTTTCGAATCCGGCGCTAACAGTCCTGGGTTTCTCAAGTGCGGAGGTGGTCTAGAACTGGACTTCGCGGCCGATCCTCAAAAGGGTGATAAGACTGTTACTTGCGGAGCGGTGCAGGGCCGGTTGGATAATGTAAGGTTGCATCGCGCGTGGTATGTCGAGTACTGAGCTATGCACTCAGCTGACGGGCGACTTGGTGTTGTTGTGCCATATCCGCTGGACGGTCTCATAAATGAAGATATCGAGTAGGCGGATTGCGGGCTGTATTAGTACGGAGATCAATGCTCGACGACACGCTGAAAGGATTTAGACTTCTGGGTTTCACGTTTGGTGGGTATCATCTGTTCCCCTGAACAGAGTGAGATATCGATGTACATCTAGGTAGACAATGGACAAATATGTAATGTGGTGACCAAGTCTCTTCTGATCGCAAGTCCGTGATGACCATTATTGAGGAAGCCGCATGTAGATCTCACTCATCGCCAGCTGCACGACGGACGATGCTAGTCACATGACGTGCCGCATATGACAAAAAATTCGATAGGTCTTGAGCTGCTGCTGATGCCGGGCTGGTCGTAGTGTGCTGTCGGCGAAAGCGCGTGTGTTGACGCTGAGGACGCGATAAGTGAAATTCAAGAAGACACGACGCGTCCCGTCGCGTGTGTGGGCCATGATTAGTCAGCATTGCCAAAGCCACCCTAGCTTCCTTTCAGTGGCCCCCTGCGGTGCAAGATCACCATCGGCAGCCTGGCTCAGCATCGATTTGCGCAGTCTACATCTAAGCATTTCACGTTGCTGTAGATTGCGACGATTTTCTGAGATGCATCAAAGAGTATTCCGCGTGACCGTACCGCTGCAATGTCGCTGCCGCATCAAAGCTATTGCAATCATACCGTATACCAAAGCACAATCTCAAAGACCAAGCCCAACCTAGGATCAGACCGCAGTCTGAGTCAAAGGCGCACTCTGTTCTTTCTGAATGTCGCTGCCGCGGCCGAATTCGCCGGTGCGAGGACGTACACCTTGCGTGGTGAAGACGCGACAACGCTCCAACACCCTCATAATGACTGATGAGCTCGAAAAAGACCGAATATCCAGCAGGCCTTCAATTTCACGGTGTGCACGAAGCGCTACCACTAACGCATCTGCTCCAGCCCAGACTGACCTGTATACTTAGCCATGCAGGCGCGTAGCAGGCTCTCTTCTCGCAGCTACATGCAATCGAACGATCGCAAAGCACATCACCTGAGACATTCGGCACAGATCAGTCAATTTGGACATTATCTTTGAAACCTAACCACCTATCTGGAGCCATGTGGGCGTGTTGCTGGGCGCTCGCGTGCGATACCGGCCGCCAGGTAATTGTAAGACATCTTCCTCTTCCCTAAGAACAGCACGCGCCTCACGCACTCGCGTCTCTGTTTACTGTATACACACGCTATGTTTGATCTCGTCCGTTCTTTGTGGGATCTAGTTGCTTTACCACATTATCATTTTACCGTTACATCCCACTTGCATCATCATCATCGTCATTGACCTAAGGTCACCTCACCCGCGCTTCTTCGCATACCGTATCTTTCCCTTCACGATGGAAGACAACTCCGACGTCACTCTCCGCCCTGACCTTGGTCTTCGCATCATGAACTTCAGACTTCCGTCAGCAAGGAAACTTTCCCTCGTCCTGCTTACCATATTCGCACTGTTCGCCGCACTCGCCGCTACCTCCTCCTTCACAACGATAACCGCATTCGCAACCTCCGCCATCAAACTGGCAACCTTCGCCCTCAAATTCGTGCCTTCGTCTGTCAAAGCACCCATTCAGATCTCGAACGTCACGTTCAACTACGTGGCTAGCGTCGCGGACGACGGAAAGAATATGATGGACTTGTCGGCCTGGGTCCACAGCATAATCATTTCGGTGACACAAAAGGTCTCCATGGTTCTCAAGTGGCTACTGGTCCTGGCACTGTTTCTGACACTGAATTCAAGCATCTGTGCCATAGAACGCAAGGAGGCTGAGAAGACAAAGGCACTTGGATCTGTCGCATGCATCGCGCCTATCCATGCCCCAGGGAATGCGGCCGACGGTGTGCTTATCCATGCCCCAGTGGATGCGACCGATAGGGTGCTTATCCATGCCCCAGGGAATGCGCCCGATAAAGTGCTAGTACACAAGAAGATATCCACGGTGGTTGAGCAAATTGAGACACCGTGGTCCACTAAGGTTTACAAGACCGTCACCGAGACTGTGACTACAACGGAGAAAACAGAGAGATCGGTAACAAGAGGAGCACCGGATCACCGTCTGATGGGCTATTAACTTAGACCTGCGTCGTCATGGGTAAGTCGTAGCTGTCAGAAATGCATGTGAGACATATACTAACTTCGTATCATCATCTCTTCAGCACGATGGAGTACCGAGGCATCTACAAGCATATTATCACAGAAGTGAAGGCTGAGGGAGGGACATGAACCTGAAACGGCAATTAGTAGACATTCATAGGGATGTAAAGGAACAAATTGCATTTGAGATCGCCGTACGAAGCACATAGGGGAAGTACTGGTAGCTCATGTTTTCGTTTGTATTCAATATTAGCGCAGCACAATAAATAAACGCATTAACTAGATCCTTCTTCGCATGAGCAACAAAGCACATCACCAACCATTCTCGTACAGCAAACATGAGTCCACGCTACATTTCACCTTCCGCACCACTCTTTCTTTCCAACAAGCCGAAATCACCACCTCACCAGCTATCCCTCATCCTCACATCTCCAACCTACACACTCACCCCAAACCCATCACCAAACCAACCAAAAACCTCCACTACCCAAATCATGCCCGACCAAAACATTCCCCCCAACACACCCGCTGCCCGCCACGCTGCTGAAAAAAGGTCCTGGATCATCAAAATCTACTGTATCATTGCGTTTTTCGACTTGGGGATTTTTGGCCTATTCCCGAATTGGTGGGCAGCAAATAGTCTAGCGGTGGTGACCGCGTTGTTGTATCTGGGGGTGCGTTATTTGGCGAACATCCATGCGGCAGCCCAGGAAGGTGATGGAGGTGATGATGTTGAACTAAGAGAGGGTGTGGTTCACAACATGGTTATGGAATACATGGCGGGAGATGGTGAGGCGTGTGGGGATGATGCTGAGGGATTGGGGGATGCGGAAGAAAACAACGACGATGATGGTGGAGAAGACGAACATGAGGATCACGGCGAGGAGCCAGAAGAAATAGAGATGGAGGACGGAGCTGCTCACGAGATTCGTTCAACGCAGATTAACATTCACATACACCGAGGTGGGAGCATGTACATCAACATGATGCAGGGTGGAACGTTGCTTGTTAATGTTTTCGGGGAGGTAGACGGTATGGATTCGGAATGAGGGTAGCAGATCGCAAGCTGAACAGATCAAGAGAAGAGCACGGAAAGGGGCAGGATAGTAGAAGGGAATGCGCTAGGTTCTGTGAATGCTGGACCTGCTCTCACGAGTGTCCGCGCTTGATTTGGTTCTGGGAAGTATATAGGTGACGTATGCGTAAGAAGATGTTGTTGAAAGTATCAAATGTTCCAACCACCGCCATGCTATCAAGCTACTCCTCCGTGTTAGGCGGGTCCACAGTTTTGCTTCCTTTGAATATCTTGCCGAGAAACCGGGGTTATACGTCCGTGTCCAGTGACTTCTTGGCCTTTTTAGCCACAGCAGTCACCTCCGTAGGAACAATGCTGAACTCCACAGCCGGACCCAATCCAGTATGCTTAACAGTCTCGTTACCCGTATACGTATACCTCACTTCACCCCTACCACATGTCAGCTCTCCCCATTCCTTAAACCCCCACCACCTCGCATATGATATACTCACTGCATAAACGTGTACTGCACACTAACAGTCGCACCGACATCACTCCCGCGGTTGAACTCTTGCGTCTGCACATCGCCCGGTACATCAATCCCAACTACACCGCAAGATTTGTAGCCACCCTGCAGACTTGTGCCAGAGCAGAATTCCGCATTGAAGGCTGGCTGGCCAGAGGGACCGGTGGGCGCGGTGACGTTGAAGGAGTAGCGGCAGGCGGATGCGGTGCAGACGCTGCTGAAGTCGGTGACGTCCCAGGTCCAGTCTGCGTTACGGGGGAGGGCCGTTGCGGATGCGCCGGTGGCGAGAAGAGCGAGGGCGGTGATCTTGAACAGCATGTTGAGTGTTTGGGATGGGTGGATGCGAAGTCTGTTGGTCTTGTCGGTGTTGGTTTCCTCTCCCACTATGCGACGAGGCGGCTTTATAGGTCTACTCATCGTATATCGGGCGATCGTAGCAACACAAAGCGTATGTCGCCTTCATGACGATGGAGCCGATGTGACGTCGCATAGCCACGATACGTCGAGGTGTCTAGGGCAACTGATCCGGAACGAGAATTATTTCCGTGCTTTACTACGCCACTCGTATGCGCAATGCTCGGCTGCAAGGGCACGCAAATCATCGCTGTACGACGGCTACGGCGTTGCGGCATATCCTCTAACGATTGCCGCTTTGGGAGGGTTGATGATTGTTCCACAGTGCTTACTGATGGTGACAAGTGTGGCAGCGGGTGCCAAGAAAGGAAACACGCAAGAATAGATCAACTGCAGGACCCCAGTGACGCGTCCGTGGTTCGTATTTAGACCCCGGGGAGTAAACCATCATAGCCGACGGTAATGAGGTCGTCCTCGTATCCCACATTGGTAACTGCCACAACCCCTCACGTAGGCACGGTCAACGTCTCGCCCGTAGTAACTCTTTTCTTGCTCACTGGTGATCCCGTATAAACATGGCTATCGGTAACAGATCTCATCATGCCAGGTCGCCGTTGTGTACTAGGCAAGTCGAATGGGCTGGCATGGCCATGTGTGGATCCCGGGATCACAAATCTAGGTCTGCTACCAGGTGTGGCAACTGGGTCCGCAGGTATCTCGGGGGGCGGAGGTTCGGCCAGCGGGTCGGAGAGAAAGAGCGCCAGGAGCTTCTCGACGATGTCGCGCATACGATCGGGTGTGGCGTGCAACGGTTTCTCGGACATGTGCTTTCTCTGTAGTATCGTCAGCGAGCGTTTCAAATGTAGGTTCACGCGTCTTACCAGTGCTAATTGTGCACCCTTGAAGGTTTGGTGGTATATCAACTTGTACTCGTCGTCCTTCGCCGCCTCTTCTGCAGCTGCTTCTTCACTGCGCTGCTGACTCTCCTCGGCACCAGCCACGGAGGCGCGGCGGGACCTGTTCTGTTTCCGCTGCTGCAAGCCGTGCATGCGCATCGCTGCCATGACCACCTTGACCAGTGCGTCCTTGTTTCGCGACTCGGTTGTCGGCTCTTCGGGCTGTATGGGCACCGTAGCGACCTGCGACAGATTCGATCGCCTGGCATGCGCGTCGGGTTGACCTTTTCGGCTGAGAGGTCTTAAATCGGAGGTTATGCTCGGTGATCGCGAGAGTGGGCGCGAGGAAGGGCGGGCTAGATGGTCGGAAGCAGACGTTGGTCTGGACTCGGAGAAAGATGAGGCTTTCAGATCGATAGAGAGCGACGACTTCCGGTGGGTGTATGCCTGCTGAGACTCGCTCGTGCGGGCTGCTGCTGCCGAGACTGCTCTTCCGCCTCTTCCCCTTGCTTTCTTGTTTGCGATGGTAGCCTCTTCGAATATGTCTCTCGTTCGCTTTGGTGATGTTGGGGGGTTGTGGAATTCGTGCTGCGGCGGAAGGAAATGAGGCTCGGCGTCCATGGGCAGGTCGATGCTGGTGGCATTGAGAAGATCAGACGAAAGTGGCAGTGCGTGAACTCGGAGCTCAGGGAGTAACTCAGTGTGCGCATCGCCGACGTATGAGGACGAGGATGGTGGTGTGGGTAGCCCGGCTGTGGTAGGAGCCGCGATGGTGCCATAGAAGAGGATCTCAGTCACTCTAGGTTTTCGCCCGTCTTCCTCAACCCTTTGGACTTGTACGAGAAACCCAATTGGCGACTGTGATCGCGCCAGGTCCCACCAATCTTTCGCGGCGTTGTTGGGCGCGTGTGCCAGCGTAGGCTTACTCAGCAGTACTGCCTCGAACCAAGCCTGGGTAGCTTCCTCTGTCGTCCATACGCCTAGACTGGGGCCGGCGGCAAGGTATAGTGGAATCTTGGCAGTATCGACCGTGGTGAGGAAGCGCAGAGCCGTCGCGGGAAGGGCTGGGGAAGACGCGACATTTTGCGACGCGAGGCCGACATCTGCGGGGTATTAGAGATTGTTCTTTCCCGATGAATGATGATACGTACCTCTAATAACATTGCCGTCGGGTAGCAGAATATCTCCGCTCCAGATATCCGTCATTGCGGATGTTCATGTAACCTTGGAAGTGTTCGGGTCAGGCAACGCGGGATGCAAGTCGCTATGACGCGCCATTCGCGCTAACAACACGCGAGGGCACGTGCAAGATGGCAACGTCACCCTCATCGTGACCATTCTTCTACGTGGCAGGCTACGTTTCTCGTACTTTTATGAAAGTCTTCAGATGATCTAATGTTTTCATACGCCATCTCCAAGCCACTGCCGAATTATAACATTGTGTGGCGAGATGCCTCCATCGCGTCACCCTCGCACTACCCCAACATCCACCTCTACACACTTCACACTCCACTTCCGTTACTTTTCCTTCTCCTCCTTCCCCTCCGTTCCAATCGCACAAACGTCTTCCCTTATCTGTTCCTTCATACCACTTACCATCTTCTCTATCCACTGCACGCTTTCCTCGTCCACCTTGTCACGCGCATAGCACTCCTTCTCGTTGCGTCTTAGCACATCTCTCTCTTCCAAGCATTCACGCAGATTAGCTCTCACGGCAGCCATGTGATGATTGTGTCTGTGCGCTTGTACTACCCCTCCCTGCAGGGTCTTGTTAAGGGCGTGGTTGCATGTCTGGAGGTCGTGGCTGTAAGCGAGGAGGGCTTGGTCGTTTGTGTAAAGCTCGATGGCGGTAAACACGGCGATGGCGGGTAGGAATAGTAAGAGGAGTCGATTGAGTTCGACGTGGTGGGGGATGAAGATGATGATCAAGAGGACTAGGATGATAGACGCGGCTATCTCGAACCGCAGTGTTGACGCGGCTATTTCGAGCCACCGTGACATGATGAGATGGTATGCGTTGCGTGATTGGGTTTCTTGCCTTCTTCTTCTGTTGATATAACTACCCGTGTTAGTTTGAGTTTGCTACACTCTTTCCAAACCGCAGAGATCAAAGAATGCACCGAGCTACTCCAGGCTTCAGGAAAGATTTCATTGTAACCATGGCTTTCTTTCCCTTTGCACGCAAAACAACACGGAAGATCACTCGGCGTCATCCCATCCTCATCGCATCGCCCCAACGTCTCTCTCCTACTCCACTTCATCCGCGGTTTGAAAACAATTCACAGGCTCAAGCAACCCGAACACCACCATATCAGCACGATCGCCTCAGACCCATCAGTACCACGCACTGCACACCCCATGCAGCCATGTTACCATACGCCATACTTGTCAAATCCAGCATCTTAGCAACGCACTGCTACGCTCTTTTCAGCGAAGATGCTTCCAAAACAATCAAGGTCATACTCGGTATCGCATGTACGCTCACTAGCTGCGATGACTTCAGGCACATCATAAACGACCCGGGTTATCAAACATGCAAACAAGCGCTTGAGTTGAAGCACCAGGCACTTCAAGAGTACGAACATAGTTACAACTTCGTTGCACAACGGAATGATGAACTCAAGAGAATACTTAGGGAGGGCATCGTTGATAATTGGTGGACATTCTTTGAAGAGCACGGCGATGAGGATGATTGGATGGTGAACGTGATGAAATGTTTGCCGGAGGACATTAGGCAAGAGGTCTGGGAGATTGGGAAGCGGAAGAGAAAGCAACTGGAAGGGGAAGGAGAGGGTGAGATGTGATGCGCGGGAACTTAATACAGCAATTCGAGCTCGGTAATTGTTTCTTTCATTTTCAATCTGCTTCTCCTAGACATGTCAGACAAGGCAGCTAGGATCGCCTTCAAAACATCCTGACTCGCCCGCTCAGCCCCTATCGCCCTGTCCCAGCATCTTCCGGCTATCCAACCCGCCCTCTACTGCTTCTTATCCTTCTCTACTCTATCACCCTTCACATCCTTTCCATCCTCCTCCCCACCCGTTAACGCCACTTCCTTCATCCCCCCAAACAAGCCATCTACCTTCATCCCAATATCCCACGGAACATCCCGCCCATGCTCCTCGCAATGCGCGCGGCAATCATCACGAAACCATCTCAGTCCGCTCTTCTCCGTCTCGCATTTGCTTAGTTCAGCTCTCAGAGCGGCGACTCCCTTCATTGGCCTGTTCTCTAGCTTGGTTACTAGAACGGTGTTATTTTGAGTAGTGACGTTGAGATTATGTCCGCATGTATGAAGCCTATGACTGCATGATTGCACAGCTCGGCTGCTTGTGTGAATTTGGTAGGCTGCGGTTACGGCGAGGACGGATACGCTCAGCGAGAGAAATTTGGCCCATTTCGGATAGACGACGATGAGTAGCGGGGAGTGGATGATATCATTGACCAGGAAGCGGGAGGAATAGATTGCAAGAGTTATTAGTCCTGTGATGGTGAACGATGACATGATAAAGCTTAGAATGTGGGCCACGAAACGGTGTTACCGTGATGCTTTTGTTGATATACACAGCTAAACTTATAGGTTCGAGTTTGCTGTACTTTAAACAAACCAAAGAGATCAAAGGGGTTAGCAGCCTTAGAAGTCACTCTGACATTCCACAGGTATTCCCGCATGACTAGAACTTTCTCCCCGTTGGGTTGTAGAACGAAGAGATATATCAGAGTTCACTGTTGCATGGCATAATTCATCCAGCGCATACAGTCGAGTGACGCACTACTCCTATCACGAACCAGTGTATCACACGGAGGCGGCAAGGCACAGCAGAACCCCAAAAATGTAGCAGTTCGTCTCAAATTCGCTATACACTCGACCTTTGCATATACAAACCGCCGCATGACTTTGCAAAATCTCATTCTCTAGTAGTCTCGCCAATGTCGTCCTCTATAAACATCCTCCATCTCACGGTCCTCCATAGCATCCGACATGCCGCCACCTCCCCCCTCATCTTGCAACCAACGCATCATGCTCAGTCCCATATTCTCTTCACCCACTGTTCTCTTCACAGCAATGGTGATGACGTAGCACAGAATAAACGCTGGGGCACATGCCACGACATAGGGTAAGTCTATCCTGAGGTTCTGCATAGTCTGTTAGTAAGTGTGGCCGTTAGAGATGGCCTGTCTAACAGTTCTGGAAAGTGTGACTAGAGCGAAGAAGAAGTAGAATAGGAAGTGGATGGTTGAGTCTGACATTTCGGATGGGACTTTGGTGTGTGGTGTGTTTGACTAGGTGAGATGAACGTGTGGGTGGGTACTTGGCTTCGACGGGAGAGGAGGAGATGGATGATGCCGAGGGTTGACACTGATGCGATGGTATAGATACGGAATTAGCTCATAATTTGCTCTTCTTGTTCTCTGCCATGCGCAAATAACTTTGCTTTGAGCAATTTGTATTGCAGATACCTTTAGAGAGCAGTCTAGCGCGCGTTATTGCATCATACAACAATTGCAGCCAGCGAGAGAACACTAATCTCTTATTCTTGTCAAAGAACAACGCTCAAACTGGAAGATCGAATAATCGCTAAGCCGTACAGTGATGAAGCTGAACAAGACCTTACACCACTGCGAAAGAAACGCTAGCAAACCTCTTCCTCTGTCGTCGCATCCATAAAGACCGTCGAACACGAACATTTCATCTTCATCTTAACCACCACCACAAACCGCCATCTATTAATCCAAATATCCCTTGCACCCAGTGAAACCACCAACGTTCCCACCACCCATCCAGCCAACCAACAACATGATGCCCACCACAAACCTCATCTGGCAGCTCCTCCAAACCATCGTCCTCCTCTGGCTCCTCCTTGTCTTCGTCATGCTCATCTCTCTTTACGAAAAAGCTATTCAGGAACGTGATGTAGTTTGGGTCTTTGCTACTGTTGCATCTGCTCTCGCTATCTGCGTTTATGTAGGTGACTTATCGGAAGACACGGAGCTACGGCACCAGTTGGCGTGGTCGGATAGGGAAATCACGAGATGTCATCACAAGTATGAGAATGGGATTAGGTGTAGGATGTGCGAAGAAGAGCGGCGGAAGCTAATGGAAGTTCAATAGGAGCATAAGGACAAGTACCACAGGAACTGAATGATTGTGTTGAACATGTCGAATAAGCTTTTGATATGCTCGGTAAGTAGAGAATCAAGGTGGGCGGTTATGTGGCTTCGTAGTGACGGTCGCGTTTAGGACTGACGACCAACAACACGTTTGTGTGAACACGGCGTCAATCCGACGCTTGCTGCAACTTGTTTCCAGTTGCGATGCATTAGGGAGTTTCCACCTGGTAGCTACTTTTCGGAAGCAAACTACCATGCATCTTCGCCTTGTCAGACATTGTGGTTCTCAAGAAAACAACATCTTCTTGTTCCCATCAAAGATATCCGCTCAAAGTTGACACTCTACAAACGCCGGAACGGCTCACAACCGCTTCGCGAGTATCCTACGACACCGCCAACAATGACTTAGCAAACTTTGCATCACTGTCGCATGCATTAAAAGGCGTAGTTCGTGAACGCCCGGCCTAATACCACCATCATCACGACCGCCCGTCTCTACAGCCCGGGCTATTCAATCTCGCATACCTAGGTACCTAGGTATCTAAATTCTTCCGCAACCCCAACCAAAACACGATACAAAATGACAACCACCCAACTCCTCCATCTGTTCCTCGATTATGCCGTACTTGTCTCTCTATTCGTCTACTTCTTCGCATTCATCTACCTCTATCGGCTGCGGGACGAGGGGCCGAACCGAGGCGCGCTCAATGGCACCTGTGTCATGGCGATCACCATCTACGCCTTTGCTCACGGGATGCTAGAAGTAGGAAAACTGCGCGTTCAGTTAGCTGAGACGGAGCAGATTTTGCTGAGTTGTGAGATGGGATATTGGGGCCTTTGGATGCGAGTGTTGAGGGCGATCTGGGGTACGTGAAGGCGATGAGGGGCGTCGCACAAGCAGGAGAGAGTGTAACGCATGTTCGCATTCTTGCTGAGAGGAAGGCATGTAGTAAGAATTAACTTTGACATCTTTCGCGCGTTCGGTCTGAATTCTTCCTGTTATCTCTCTAATCCTCTCGAACAACCACCGCTTCTTCTCTACACCCCTTCGTACACATTTGCAACCCCCCTTCGAGCCCCGCTAACCAAACCTCCCCCAAACATACCTCCACTACCCCTACTACCTTCAATTCCCTAATATACCCTCCATCTCGAGCTGATCCTGCATCTCCGCCACCATCATCACATTCCTACCGACGATATACATGAGAGATATGATACCGACATTAGCCGCAACGACTTTAACAGCGAACCTGCGCTTTCTGGCAGTGTTGAGATACTTGTAGAAGATTTTCCGGAAGATCAAAGCGAGCAGAATGGTCGCAATGAGTGAGGGGAGTTGTTGGAGGATGTGCTGGTAGGATGACATTCTGTGCTAGATTCGGATCGATGGATGTGGATAGATTCGGGTTCCCGGGTCCTTCGTTCTTGTATCGATGTTCGATGCTGATGTTTGATGCTGCGATAGTGGATGCGCAAGAGGGAGATACCTGGCCAAGTGCTTGCTTTTGTAGTTGCCATCTTCTCAGAAGACTGGCTGAGCTTGCTCGCCGTGATGGATGTAAAACATCGATTGAGATTGCGTCGACATGTCGCAAAACCACACTGGTATATTTGGCTCAAGAAACAGTGGGAAGTAAGACATACAGGAAGATTATGTTCTGTTCACGAGAAACGCATTAAGACAGCTCGTCTTGAACCGCGGTGTGTCTAAGACTGTGTGAGACAGGTTCAGGGAAAACGAACCCGCTGATTTTTCATGTTGGTCGCTTCTAGTTATGTACCTACAACACCGATATAATGCAATTGTGCAGGATGATGCTACCTCGCGCGCGCACGGGTTTGATGTATGACACAATAAAGAGTCCGTCTTGGACTGTCATTCACGGAACACTCCTTCGTCTCTAAAAGACCCAAGCCAACTTACGCATCACCCCCTCCCTCTCCATCCTCCCCATCGTCTCCATGCTCTCCTCCCCCTCATCCCCTCATCCCCCCATCCCTCCACCTACTCCCCATCCCTTACCCAAGCCCCCGTAATCGTCGTCTTCGACGGCAGTGGAGGTGGCCACAGACACCGCAACAGATTCTCCTGCACCTGCCAAAGCTGCCTCTTCGCCTCCCCAAGCTCACTCTTCAACACCGCAACATCCCACATACTTTTCCCGATAACGAATACAACAACCGCGCATACAGCTAGGCTCACTATCGATCGTATCTTCACGCGTCGATGCCAGCAGTCGCTGATGAGAACAGAGCAATCGTGAAGGAAGGCCAGGAGGAAGAGGCCAAAGACGAATCCGGGGATTTGTTGGTCGGAATGTGATGGTATCGTTGGGTAGAATAGATCTCGCAGGGATGGTCGCTGTGGTGGGAGGGGCGGGGGGTTGTGTTCGATGAGGAGAGGGCCTCGTCCGGGTGGTAGGTATTGAGCTGAGGTAAACTCGTCGGAGTAGTTGTAGTCGGTAGCCATGGTCGTTCGTATTGATGCTGGCGGTGATGAGTGAGATGATGAAGGTGCCTAAGTATGCTGAGGTGGAAGCTATTATGCGGCAGAGTTTGCTTGAGAGCAACCGGAGTTGTGTGAGATCTTGTCTTGGACTGCATTGGAACGCCCGAGAAACGCGTTTCCGTTTGGCGGAAGAGCGTGCGAGAAAGATGTACCAGATTTGTCCCAACAAGTCGATCAACATCCTACCTCCGCAGCTTAACCTTCCCCTTACTCAGCGCATTCAAATGATACTGACACCCCATCCCCAGCGGCCTCCCCTCCCACTCCTCCCTCCAAAACCTATCCACGCTCCCCAACAGCGGATCACCCCGATCATAAAGCGTCGTCTCCTTCATCAAATCCCAATGCTCCGCCTTCTTCCACCTCAGCAACATCGGCTTCAGCAGCCTCCCCGTGACATTCTTATTCCGACACGTCGTCGCAAAGTCTTCAATCTGGCCGTCGAACCACTCGAGCGACGGATCAGCAGGCTGCCAGACGGACATGGATTCTAGAGTTGGCCAGAAGTCGAGGAGGGAGAGGGAGGCTTGGAACATGTAGGATACGTCCATGCGGGCGTTCATCAGGCACTGTGCTTCTTGTTTTGACTCTTCGAATGTGAGGCCGTTGGGTAGGATGGAGGAGTCGAAGGGGAAGGGGAGTTGGGCGTGCGAGAGATCGGGGCGTAGCGTGAGGTGGCGAAGGTTTGGCGGGAATAGGGGATAAATATCCTTGGTGATGGAAAAGTCGACGTCGCCAGTGAGGAAGGGGAAGGCAACCTCAAGGGTATGTAGTTCGGTGAAGTCGGTGAGATCAAGGAAGCCGCAGAGTCTATCGCCGATGCGGGGTTGGGCGAAGAAGAAGGCGTCTGGGTCGGAGTATTCCGCGGTGAGGACTAGGACTTCCAAAGTGGATTGCAGGGGCCTGAGGTGCTCGTTCCAAGCGTCGACCATGAGCAGATCTCCTCGCTGGGTTGTCTGTGCCTGGGCGTTGAAGTAGGACTCGTACGTAAGAGACCGTAATTTTGGCGTGCATTGGAACAACGACTTCAGACCCCGGTTAAAGGCACCTGAGTGCCGGAAGACCAACGTAGTGATGTTGGTAGCTGTCGGAAAAGCGATTAGTGAGTGCGATATAGCCACACCATGTGCATGCGACTGGCCGCCTAGATTGAAAAGTTCGAGTTTCTCAATGCCCGGGATGTTCAGAAAGTGGCCGATTGGATTGCGGTTGTTGTCTCCCGGATACCAAACTCCAGTCTTGCGGTCAACCATGAGAGATACCTCCTTGATGGAAGAGAGACGATCAAGAAGAACTTGCGATGGATAGCGCCGGTTCCATAAAGTCCCGGGGTCGAGATTGCGGAGGACGTTGTGGAGATGGTCGAAGGTGGCCTGCTTGTAGTCTGCTACGTCGAGTCGACGGAGTTTGGGAAGGACGAGAAGGGCGAGCGCTGCATAGGCAGAGTACTCGCGCATGTAGATGGCGTCTCTCAGATAGTCTCCGGCAGCCACCAACGTCTCATCACTCAACGCGACCATAGCTTTCCGAAACATCTGTTTATCATCAAAGGTCTTATCCGGTGCCAGCCAACGCTGACCCTGTTTGACCTCTTCGCTTGGGGATAGTCCCAGGCGGACTGACTCGACATTGTTGGCTTTGCGGCTATCGCTGATGATGTTTAGGCAGAAGCGATCGATCCTGGGGAGTTTGTTGCCAGGCGGTATGAAGAGATCAACGTGACGGTACAGGAATGGTATGGCTAGATTTAAAAGACTCTTGTTGATCCGGCAAACAGCGTAAATGTCGTGCTGAGCGAGATAGGATACAATGTACTCCACGAGCTCGGTGGGGAGGAGGGAGAAGGTCGCCATGATAGTGGCGATGTTTTGTGGATGTGTCACACGATGACTGAAGGCTTGAGCTGGCTACACAAGATTCAAAGAAAGCGGTCGCAAATATTTGTAGCAAGAGGGTGTTGGTGATAGTTGCGCCACGCAAAGGGTGCAAAGGGTTGCCTGATAGAGGGGACGCGAGGCCCGTGCACAAGGCTGACGGGGCTGATTGGCTGCCTTAGGAGCACATGGCAGAAGCAGTTGGACTGCCATGACGCTCGTGTACAGCGAGATGGTTTCTAGAGGCTGATGAATATCTGTCGTGCAGCGATGTGCCGCTATGCTCGACCTATCTGCCGGTTGTGATCCGAGAGAGTCTACACATGGCTACGTCACAAGCGGCTCCATAGCACGTGACAATGCTATGCCGATCATATGCGTTCGCACATGTCAACGAAGGTGTGAGCACCGGCGCCATGAAGAGTGTCGTGTCAGTCTTTATGTGATCTCCAGATCTAGGGAAGACGGGCTAATTCTCGGACTACCCCGCGTTCTGGTGGGTTAGCTCAACCGTCGTGCGTCGTATGAGATGCGAGATGTTGCAAAGCGCATGTTCCTCGTGGGTGTTCCGGGCTATCGGAACCACTCGGAGCTGATTCAAGATGCGTGGGCGTACTTCACACCTTCAAGAGAATGCGGCAGGTAATAGCCGGCGACACAACATGCATCGCGATCGCACATCGAGCATGGCGGTCCACTACTGGGCGTTACTTGATGGTGCACGATGATTTGCCTCGATAAGGCCAAGCGGGATAACGGCATGCGAACGAGTTCTGGCGATGTGCGTGGTTGGCGGCGTAGGTGGCCGTTGCGATGTGGGCGGCCATTCAGCGGCCGTGGATCTGTCAGAGCTGCACACCATGGCGAAGCGAGACCCGGAGCAACAGGCCAAACAGTGCATCGTGGGTGAAGTCGATGGCTCCGCTATCTTGGAATGGTGGTTGTTAGTAGGGAAGACATTGGGTATGGCCTCGGTCGACGCTCGGGAGGCGCACTTTGATCTTGTCAGGTGCGTCGCGGGTTCCGACATGTTCCTCTCCAGCAACGGTCCGATGCGCCAAACCTGCCAAACCTCCTTCCCCCGCCATCTCCCCAGTCTCCTATAAACACAGTCGCCGCCTACCCCGCTGACATTAACGGCACCGCATACTATCACATATAGACGCGTAGACGCCCACCCCAGCTGCAGCTCGCCTACGTCACACGCACATTTGCGCCGATAATCGCCAACCATCACCAACCACCACTCACGACGCGCCCCTGTTCCGCGGCTCCCCCTTGGATCAGCGCATGGAATAGAAAACGTCGCAGAGCCCGAGCTTGACGGCGCAGTCGGAGCGCCGCCTGTGCTGTTGTTATTTGGTCGCTGCACGAAACGCCGTTGCGGAGCCGCCAACACAACACACACCTCTACACCGCCGCTAGCATTCGACGTTTATAGACGCCATCTTATGCCCCAGAGCCACCAGCGACCCTCACCAGATCAGACACCCTCCACCACCACCATGACCACCAACCGCCCATTCTTCGGCGGCTTCCTCGCCGCCTTCCGCGCGCAACAGCCCAGCCTCCAGAAGACCACGGCCTCCCAAGCAGCTTCTGTGGCCTCGTACTCGCAAAACACCACCTCACAACAGAACAACACCGTCGACACAACAGCCGCGTCGTCACGGACCATCACCACAAAGACGCGCTCCCCATCGCCTGGTGCGACGACCGTGTCCGTCCAGGCGACTGGCCACTTCCAACCCACCCGACAACACACCGGCCCCTACAACCGCTCCACATCACCCAAAGCTCAAGCCTTCCCAATACCAGGCGCGTCGCGTCGAGGCAGGCGGGGCTCCGACAGCTCATCCGAAGGCTTCCACGAAGCCATGGGCGCCGAGAAGTGGTACATCGGCGGGCGAACAGCGACGGGCGAGGAGAAGTTCTACAAGCTGGGCATGGTCAAGCGACACAGAAGCGCCGACCGCCTGAGTCTAGACAAGCTCAGCATATGAGCTGGGAGAGGGTTACTTTGCTTGAAAAGCGCAACTGCATCATCGGCGTTCAGGACACGAGATCTCACCGCAAGATCCACGTTTGGGTTATCTAGAATCTTTCACCGTACAAATTTGGCCTGTCGCTGGCTTACGAATACACGTATATATTTGCGGGCTCTTCGCCTGAGCTCACTCGAGATGGTCGTCTGCATCATGCATGTGAGAGTCTGGTGCGCCAAGGTGTCATGTGCCGAGGTCAGTATTGGCTAGCACTCATAAGGCGTGCACTATCTTACAACTACCCTAGTAGTACATCGTCGTCTTCGAGAACATACTTGGTACGCATATGCAGAATGTTCCGGAGCATTTCCATCGTCGGCGGCAAAGTTTCCGACCGGACATTCTTAGCCCGACACCCATGTCGGCTACTCCACTCACCGGATATAACATCTCGACACGATGTAGGCGAAAATCTTCACGGAAAAGACGCTCCTTGGGCAGCGACAGTCTCCACCCGCGGATATGAAGCCGTTGCAGGAGCGCTAATGCACGAAGATAGCCCAACATGTACTCTAATCGTGAACATATCTAACGTCTCTCGTCACTTGCTCCCTCTCCTCTTCATTCTCCAACAACTCGAATGTCGCTGCAAACACTCTAACCAGCAGCACGAGTCCCTTCCCGACTCCTCTACCAAAACCAGTATCCACTCTACCATCTCGCCTTCTATGAGTACACATAATGGCACCCTCTTCCACATCCTCCTCAGCACCCGCTGGCCAACACGCACCCCCCAACACCTCCTTTGCCGAACCTGAAAAGAGCACCGAATACGCTTCCATCATCCCCCAACCACGCAGCAATGAAAACGACCAAGACCGTCTCCAACTCCAACGCACAGTCTCCTCCGTCAGCCACCACGACATGGCCAACGTCCAATACATCGCCACGGGCGACAACGACGTCATCTACAGCAAATTCACCGAGCGCCGCAAAATGGTCATTGTAGCCGTAGTCTCTTTTTGCAGTTTCCTGGCTCCGATATCAAGTACCACGGTGTTGTCTGCTGTTCCGGAGGTTGCGGAGACGTTTGGTACGGATGGTAGTATTATTAATGTGTCGAACGCTTTGTACATGCTTTTCATGGGCTTGTCGCCGTGTTTCTATGGTCCGTATGGCAATATTTATGGTAGGAAGTGGGTTAGTGTTGTGAGCGCGGGGTTGTTTACTGCGTTTTCGATTGGGACGGCGTTGGCTCCCAACCTGGCTTCTTTCTTCGTATTCAGGATCCTCACTGCTTTTCAAGGCACGGCTTTCCTTGTTATTGGGAGTGCGGTTATTGGGGATATATATAAACCGGTATGTATGCCCTTTTCCAGTGTTGGTGATTGCTTCCAGATCAACTTGGAGAGCTGCATATCATAGGAGCGCCCATTACAGCTCTCACTCACCCCCATCACCTTCCCTACTAACACAACCCCACAGACCGAACGCGCAACAGCCCTAGGCTGGTTCCTCTCCGGCACCCTCATCGGCCCCGCCCTCGGCCCCTTCATCGGCGGCATAATCGTAACATTCCGTTCCTGGCGCGACATCTTCTGGCTGCAAACCGCCCTCGCCGGCGCCGCAACCCTCTTCTGCTTCTTCCTGCAACCCGAGACCATCCACAAGAAGCGCGCCGATGAACTCGTCGGCCTCCCCACTGCACAACGCGCCCACAAAATGTGGCAATGGCTAAACCCATTCCGCGTCGTCAAACTATACCGGTACCCCAACATTCTTCTCACGGCACTAGCATCCAGTTCCCTAGTCTGGAACATGTACTCCCTCCTAACCCCAATCCGCTACGTCCTAAACCCGCGCTTCAACCTCCAATCCCCCCTCCAATCCGGCCTCTTCTACATCGCCCCCGGCTGCGGCTACCTCCTCGGCACCTTCTTCGGCGGCCGCTACGCCGACCACATCGTCAAGAAATACATCCAGCGCCGCGGCCACCGCGTCTCCGAAGACAGACTCCGGTCTTGCGTCTTTTTCCTCGGCGTCGTGATTCCCGCTTGCATGCTGATCTACGGGTGGAGCGTCGAGAAAAGGGTTGGAGGCATCGCGCTGCCTGTTGTGATGATGTTTTTGCAGGGCGTGGCTCAGCTGTTTTGTTTTCCGAGCTTGAATACGTATTGTTTGGATGTTATGCAGGGGCGGAGTGCGGAGGTTGTTGCTGGGAATTATTTTATGCGGTATATGTTTGCGGCGGCGGGGAGTGCGGCGTGTCTTCCTGCGGTCAGGGCGATTGGCGTGGGTTGGTTCTCGACCATCAGCGCGGGGTTTCTTGTTGCGGGGGCGGGTGCGACGTGGTTGACTGCTGTGAAGGGGAGGGAGTGGAGGGAGGGTATTGAGGAGGCGAAGGCGAGGAGGAAGGAGGAGGCGTTGGCGTAGGGGGTGGTAGTGGTGCATTGGAGGTAGAGTAGTGATCATGATGTATCCCGTTCGATTCTCATCACAACTTTATGTTTACTTGCTAGTATTTGGCGTAATTTAGAAAGAGATGTTTGAATATGGCCAACTATGCGATTGGGATACGAGATATCAAATACGAGAAACACCACATGAGGTTAGTCTGGCCGACTGAAGGATTCGGCCGCATTCGTTACCTACCCCTACAAACAACAACCCTCGAAAGACCTACACGCGACACCACCTTCCTACCCAAACCACCACCTATCCAGCGACTAGTACTCATCATGCGCCTCACCCTCCCAATCCCCCTCCTTCTCGCTTGCTACTACCACTACTGCGTCGCATCAGCGCAAACATGCGACAACGGCGGTACGGCATGCGGCTACGCCGCCCAACTGTGCTGTACCGCCGAAGAAATCTGCATGACGAACGAGAATAATCAAGCGCTTTGCTCAGTTCTCGATTCCAACTCCATCAATTCAACACTGACGCTCGTGGTCAGCATGCAGTCAGTCCCCGTAACAACAATAATGCCGACGCCGACGCAGGTTACAGTCCTGGAAAGCTCGTCGTCTGAGGCGCATGTTGGGGACGCGGGTGGAACTACTGCATTGACTGGCATGTTGTCTTCTGGCCTTACGCAAGGTTCTGGTGCGAGTGTTGCGGAGGAGACGGTGTCGACTACCAGCGCGGAGTCGACGGCGTCGACCGGTTTGGCTGGTGCGTCTGGTGCGCAGGCTTCGACGACGACGGGCTTGGGTGGAAGGGTAGAGAGGAGTTGGTATGGGGTTGTGGGAGTTGGTGTTATTGTCGCGACCGCTTGGATGTTTTGAGTGATGGAGAGGTTAGTCGACGGAACAAAAGGAACGGTATCAGAGGAACATTATCACAAGATATGGTTGGTTTTAAAAAGTTCGCCAAGCGCGCGGAGAAGCTCTCGAGAGCTTCGATATCCCACCCGTCCCCCCGCCATAATATGAACATCTCCTCAGCCTTGCCTCAGCCTTGAGGTGCCAAGTTGGCAGGTATGCAAGACATAGCTCGACACAGGATAGTGTATCTCAGCCTTGATCGCCTTTTATTCGGGCTGCTCGACGAAGACTTCGAATCCCTTCTCCATTCCCAGCGCCAGAATGCACTTCCTCCAACTCTTCGTCTCGGTTGGTTCACTCGCATGCCCCGTCGCCACTGCGCTACGGATTGATGTACCCGATGATGTACTGAGGAGACAGGACTGCGCGAACCCATGTGGCTTTGCTGGCTGGCTCTGCTGCCCGTCACGCATGGTGTGCTTCACTGACGCTGCGAGTCAAGCTCAATGCAGGAACTCCGGTCTGGAAGCTACTACCACTCAAAGACTACCTACGCCACCGCGCCCAGCTACTACTACACCCGAGACGTCTAGCAATAGTGTTAGCCTGCCATCTCGCACAAGCAGAGGACCCAGAAGCTCGACGTCTAGCCTCCGGACTTCGAATCGCGCATCACAGCCAACGTCTCGTCGTCCTTCCGGTGACCAATTCCAGGCTCCACTCACTGCCACTGAAACACAATCATCAACCTCAACGCCTTCAGTTTATTCTCCTGGGAATGGATTGAGCTCTGGCGCTACAGCAGGAGCAGCGCTTGGTGCTATATTCGGTGTCAGTCTCATCGTATTAGGAATATTCCTGTTTCACAAACGAAGAGCAGGGACTCTGAGCATGGAGCAGGTAATGGGCCATGGTGCGGATCTTCCGGTGGCCTGTAGTATGGATCAAGAAGTGCGTGGCGCGTCTGATCTTCCGGTTGTGGACAAGACTGCACGCGTGGATGGTCGGGGTTTTCGTGATTCAACACTCCCAATTGCTAAGAGGGATAGCAGGAAAGCAGTGTGATAGAAGTTATATACGCTTATATGCCAGCATGCGCGCGCTTAGCTAAGAGTACCTAGGTATGCACGCTTTTCCAGAAGGCCTGTATAACTAAAGCTCGTTCCCATGTAGGAAGAGATATCGATAGGTGTAGCTTCGCTACCAAACAACCGTTCATCGCACACATCGCGACTACAGTACTATCTATTTTATCCCTTTAAGCGCCCTTTAACGCCCTCGCATATATAATACACCTTTAATTTCTTACTACTTTTTTATTGTACTCTAAACTATTAAATTTCTACTGCTTACACACTAGCTATACATTATTATAATGTTGCCCTTAACACCTCCTTACTCTCTAGGTGTAGCAATACTGCCTCCCTGATATAAAACCATCCTCGCGCGGATCAAAGCCTCTGGGATTGAGCGATCGGACGAGTTGTGGCTAATAACGAGATGAGGATACTGAGAATCGACTAGGACTTGCTTTGGCGCAGACAAGTGGCGTTACGGGTACAGCCTAGTAAGTAAGCTCCCGATAGCACCTCATGGTAAATGATTTACAATCGATCGTGATTACCGAATGCATGCTTGCACCTTCCTGATGCTTACTCATATCCCCACCGATAGCCGGTCACTACACGAGTGCCATCGCAATGCAGCAGCGACTGTGGCCTTCAATACAAAAACATTCCCTCCGCTTGCAAGTACCACGACGGAACGATTCTGCTCGAAGCATCATGTAAGCAGCGTCGCACAAAACGTCCGTCATTCTTACCTCGTAGGGCGCAGGCGCCTGCAGAATAAGCCCGCCACCAGGCCGCCGATACCCGAGGCGCAAAACCCAGTCATACCCGGGCTTCCGCCCACCACCAATTCCTGCGCCATCCGTTGTATCACCCTATCATCTATAACTTTTATCCCATTGCCATGGACGACTCCGCTACTGGCACAGGCCAGCAAGATGCCAATTCGGCGTCTGCAAGCAAAAAGCGGACCCACCCCGAGGACTTCAAGCGCGCGTACAAGGCCTGCATCAACTGCCGGCAACGCAAGGCTAAGTGCATCTTGGGAACCGGGCCAGATGGTGGTGAACTAAAGCCACCATGTCAGCGATGCAAGCGGGAGATGCGCGAGTGTGTGTTTCGCTCCGAGAGAAGCTGGGTTAAGAGACGTAAACCGGGGGAAGCGGCGCGCGAGGGCGAGGAAGACGATGAGGCTGTTCATGATCGCCCTCAGTCCAATCCTGCGCCAAACGTGCAGCCCTCGCCAGCTCATAGGTCGTCCATATCGACGCATGGTTTCACGCCGGGGACTAGTCCGCATGTCAACGGCACGAATCGCGCTGAGTTTCAGTCACCTCATGGGCATCTTCGCAGGATCTCGTCGAGCCAGCCGGATCTTGCGCATTCGGTTATGCGGACCGTGGTGTCGAGTGGGAGCGATGCGTTGAATTTGCTTTTTGAAGCTGCGCACCATCGCGATGCTATCGATAGCCAGGAACAGTCGGGGTCGCAAGCATACGAGACTCCTAGGTCGGGGCCATCGGGCTACGAGGGTGTTCCGTCGTCGCCGTTCCATACCTTCCGAGCGCAGCCGGTGCAGATGTCAACGCCGTCACCGGAGACATTGAAGACATGGACGTCGTGTCGCTTCGTGCAGATGGGCTGGTTCTCCGCACATGAGGCGGTCACCTACGTTGATTTGTTCTTCAAGAACTGCTCGCCATTGTCGCCGATACTGGGAGAGTTTTACTCTCATCATGAGAATCACTATACGCTGATTGCGCTGGATCCGTTCTTGTGCACTACTATACTTATGATCTCGTCTAGGTACAATATCCTTCCTGGTGTAGGCGGCGCATCCAGAGGTTACTTTGTGCATGACAGGCTTTGGGAACAGTGCCAGCGCTTCATCATGAAGATCATGCTCGGACAAGTCAAGCCTTCGAAAGCGCAGAGTCGGACCATCGGATCTATAGAAGCGCTTCTCTTGCTATCCGAATGGCATCCTCGCGCGCTGCATTTCCCCACTGCTGCTGATGGCTGGGATTGCGAGCTGATGATCGGCGCGAACAACACCACAGAGGAAGGCGCAAAGCTGTTGGAAGGAGATGTAACATCCAACCGATGGCTTGAAGATGTCATTGAGCCCGCAAAGCGTTCCGACCGTATGTCATGGATGTTGATGGGCTGCGCGCTGTCACTAGCACAAGAGCTGGGTCTCTTCGAAGACAACGCTAGAATCGATAAGGACCAAGTGTCTTATCCAAAGTTCACCACTGAGTACCTCATCTTACGAAGGATCAGAGCTCGGAAGCTACTATATGTTCTGCTCGAACAGCTTTCATGGAGGCTCGGTTGCACATCGATGATCCCTCAAAGCCTTAATCATGCTCTGATGGAGAAGATTCCAGTTGACTCTGCGACTGGTGCGGTCGAGCAATGGCAGTCCTTCATGAGCGCCTGGGTTGAACTCACCAAGCTCGCGCGCTCGATCTCAGACACCATCTACCCAAACACCGCCACAACACGAAGCTTACTACGCACTGGTCGCTACATCGGGCTGCTCGAACACTTCCAGCCCCTGCTCGTATCATGGCGGAAGAAGTACCTCGATCCCTGCAAGCTCAAAGTCGGGCTTCACGATATGCTCCACATCGAATACCAATACGTCCGCATCTACACAAATTCGCTCGGTATGCAAGCCGTCGTCGAACGTACACTCGCAGAAACGGATCCCGATGTGCCACAGGAAGACAATCTCCCCTTCAACCTGGAGCCGCGAGATTACGACTTCATCCAAGAAGTCGTCGACGGAAGTTGTCAGATCCTGCAAAAGGTCTGCCAGCTGTCTGAAACAGGGGCGCTGCGGTACTCACCTGTCAGGATCTTCTTGCGGATAACGACGAGCTCGATCTACCTGATCAAAGGACTGAGTTTGGGGAGTCGGAATGCGAAGTTGCAGAGCTGTCTGGATATTCTGGATGCGGCGATTAGAGCCCTTCGTGCTAGTAAGTCTACTTTTCATGTTAAGAACGCACATCTCGCTCTGCGGTCACTAATACAGCATCTCAGGTACCCTCGACGACATGCACCTCGCATCCCGCTACGCCACCCTCCTCGACCTCCACGTCGCCCGCCTCCGCGAATCTTTCGTCGTGTCATCCCGCCCACCCCGCCTGCCCTCGCGCGCAACTTCCACCCCTCACAATACCTCTCATAATACCTCACACGCCGCATCGGCATCTGCAACAGAAGGCATGGCGTTCTTGAACAACCATAATGCGGGTCAGTCTAGCTTGTCGAGCTTAGCGGAGAATGTAACGGGGCTTATGCCTGATATGCCGGATGATGATTGGTTGGCGCTGCCTTTTGATCCGGCGATGGCGCCGTTTGGGTTGGATGGAGGACTGCAGGGCGGGTTTCAGGGGTTTGATGATGGGACGTTGGATTTTATTTGGAATTTGCCTATGTAGGGGTGGTGGATGGGGTAGGTGTGGATATGGCATGGGGAACTGTACAAGTATAGCGACTACACGCTTGAGATGTGTTGGGGTTTGCTCCTCAAAGAGACGGGTGGTGATGGAACATTCCAATCCAGGCTTTAGACGACCCTGTCATAAAGAAAAGTACATTGAAGCAAACCCTACGCCCAGAACGCACGCATAAGAGTGTGCGCCCACATCGCTCATTCTGTTCTCAACCATCACCACAAAGTTACTCATCTATCTCACAACCAAGCCAAACATATCCATCTCCACAGAAAGTCTTACCCAATATGCCAGCAACGTTCACCGACCTACTATCCGCATTCATCGCAATCACTATAACCATCCTGGCTACTATCGCTGTCCAAGCGAAAGTCGATGGCAACCCACCCGCACTCATCATGCAGAAAGTCAAGACTGCCCTTGTTGTCCTCCTGCCGAACTTTGCCGTTCTCATCATGGTGTGCTGTCTCATCCCGGGAGTCCTGCGGCAGGATGACTAGCTGGGAATGCGCACGGCATTGGTAGCTTCGCTGTAGGAGGGGGTGGGGGCAGGGGGGGAGGGATGTATTGAAGGCTGTATTTATGGGGGCGGTTATATAAGGGGGGAGGGAAGGGGATTTTGTAGACTAGAGGGCTGGAGATGCGATATATGTACACCGATTGGTCTTGCAGTGCAGGTACATATGAATACGACATGGAGGACTATACATCTGGTGACTCTCACCAGAGATCCTTCTAGCTCTTTCCCGAAGAGATTATGTTAGCGAGATACGGAAAAGAGAACAAGAAACATAACACCCGCATCAGTGCTTTCTCGTGGATTCTGTTCCAACGGGTATCAAACTCTGGGCAGCAAACCTGAGATCAGCGTAGTCAATATACCAACCATTACGTTACCTCCAAGAGCCACCAGCCCACCTTCGCAACCCACAAAAAGACACAATGTTCTCCTACCTATCCCCCGATTTCGCCCTCCTAGCGCTATCCTGCTCTGGTCTAATTCTCCTAAGTATTCGCAAGCCCTTCAAGATCATAGGGCTTCTTGCCTTCATGTCTGTCTACCACATGCGCGTCGACAATCACGACAGCTGCGTCAGCAACGCGCTCCAAGCATGCAATTACATCGTTCCTCAATGCGCTGCGAAAATGGAAACGTGCGAGGAGTTTCACGGATGGGATAGGCTCGTTGATGAGGAGGGCTATGTGGAGGACTGTGGCAGCGAGTGAGGGCATCGAAGATGCGAAGTGTGCAGGATGTTTGGAAGTACAAGCTTGATCACGACGAATATGCTGGAGCCAGTTACCGCGACATACAATGTTTCCCTAATTTATTCATCGACCTTGTTGTCACCTTGTCCAGCCCATCTCGCATCAACTTCACATCAACTCGCACCACCTCAAACTACTCGCGCTTCCCAAAGACTCCATCCCAATATTGTCCTCGCTACTTCCGCTCTTAAGACCGACATCGCCAATCTCATCGTCAACGTCGAAGAAGTGTAATCGCTTCTCGTCCTCATCAACCGAATCCACATCGTCCTTCAGTAGATTGATATCGAACCATTGCATTTCTCGCTTATTGTCCTTTCTCACATCCTTGATCACGGCTTCATGGCGCGCGTGTTCCTCCTCAGCTCTTGTCTTTCCGCCGCAGGTCGTGGCGCATATCAACATTACTCCGTAGAGTACCACGATCAGTACAACAGAGCTTAAAAATGCGAGGTGGGCGCGGTTTGGGGTCGTTCTATCGATGTAGGTGACGTCGTCGATTTGGAGCATGTGGGTACCGTTTACCACGATGTAGACGAGAAAGAGCGGTGCCATGCAAGTGACGAACATGAATATGACAGTTTTGAGGGACATAATGCCTGGGTAGATATGCGAGAATAACATAGTGTGTTGTATGGTAGTGACTGGGGAACGTTTGCAGATTGAGAGTGCGCGCAGATGGATCCCATCAGTTAAGATTCGCAAAACCGTGCCGCATCACATACATAGATAAGAGCAATGTTTGCTCGGAGAGACATGTCCCAGCCGCTTCTCGGTAGCCGAACGCCAGGGCACGAATGAGGTCTACTTCCCCGCGGAGGCGAACAATAAATCTCAGTCGACTGTGTCTCTCTTGCTGAAAACTACAACATTCGAAAGAGCGAATGAGGCGCGCGACGATTCATTGTTATCGAATCTATCAACCTTGAGCATTTATACCCATCTCCTCTCTCAGCGCATCCCTCACAATAACACCACACATCTTCTTATACGGATTCGTCCTGACACTCATCTCCCTCGCAACTTCATCGCCATACCGCGCCGCAGCCGCAAAGTCCTTACTCGCCTGCTCCTCCAACTCCGACTTCGTCATTCCATTTAGCCGCACTTCTGATTCCACAGCTTTGAGATAAAGATACGCGCGGTGCGAGTATGCCGTCCGTAGAATCTTCGCGGCATGTGGCGATACCGCTGGTGTTGATGTGGAAGCTATGGAGGAAAGCTTGATCGCCTGCGCGAGATCAGAGAACACAGCCTCAGTGTCTGACTCCGCTGTCTCATTCGCAGTCCCAAAAATGGTCTTGCCTTCTTCCAAAGTAGCCTCAAGCTTCATTCGCCGTACCATGGCACGGTTCACCCACGCACCCGCATACGCCGGCCACTGCTCTACCACCGCATCCAATTCTTCGATCGCAGAGTCTATGTCGCTGACGCTTGATGTGCTGGATATGCGGCCTATGATCTCGCTTTGTTGGCGCTCGAGTGCGGTGAGCTGCGTGTCTGGGATACTGGGGTGGGCGGGTAGTGATGGGTCGATTGAGGAGGATATGTCTTTTTGTTGGCCGACAGAGGAAGGGAGGGTTTCTGGGTCGAAGAGCGCGTTGAGGATGCGTGCGTCGTTTGCGGATAGGGATGTGTTGGGGAGGGTGACTGCCATGGTTGTGTTGGGTTTGGTCGTGGGATAGATTGCTTTCTTGTAGCAGTGGTTTGGCTACGTCGGGACTGGAATCTTTCTGGATGTGGGTGAAGAAGGTTGGTATGTGGACTCAGCGAGAGAACATGTTAAGTCCTTTCACGTGAAAGCCATTTTGGTCATCGCGATGTTGTATGTCATGTTCTTTCACTCGGCTTAAGCTGCGGAATTCCACGGCAAAGTTTAGGTAGGCTGCGGAAGGCGGCTCGCGCAAGGCTGTCTGGCTCGGCCTATGCGCGGATGGACGAGAACACCATCTCATGATTCTCCATGTCCATGTTAATTTTTTTTAGTTATGAACAAGCTAGACTTTAGAGCCGCTAAAGCGCATCAAGCCAGATGAATAATGATCATAGTGTACTTGGTGGTCGTGAAGCAGCATGGTTGTGAACTCAGTGAGGGCAGCTCGCCAGGGAATTGCCGGCTGGCCCGCAAAGCCGCAACAACGTGGCGAACAACATCCTTCCTACACACAACATCGTACATCAAAACTCATTTCCAGGGTATGCGCAACTAGTCGCAAATATCATAATCGCGACCTGACGCGAATCGCTCGCCGAGAGCTTGCTACAACCACAAGACTGCGACGCGTCGTTCTTACGGCGGATGCAGGCGGATCATTCATTGGCGGAAAGCGGCGGACAACACCTGCTTTCTTCTGGCGGCCAGTGCACGTGAGCTCGGCATAACCAAGTAAATGACGCTACCTGGATTGAATATGGTAATTGCTAGCAAGAGTGATCGGATATCGGTTCGAGAAGGGAAGTGGATGCAGAACGGTAGAAGATAAAGAATGGCTGCGCATCGGTGCCTAGTGGGCAGTTCACTACACTTTACAGCACTGCTTTCTTACTCCCTAGCCAGAGATCTGAGTACTTTCAACTATACCTGAGTTACTCAACTGTTCATTTCTGTTCACGAATCACTTTCACAATGGCGCCCGCTGCTATCTCCCCACCGGCATCGCCACGACAATCTGCTGCCACTCCTTCCGATGTCTCTTCATACCAAGGCTACCACCATGTGCACTGGTATGTCGGTAACGCCAAACAAGCCGCCTCGTTTTATGTATCACGTATGGGCTTCGAGCGTGTTGCATACCGCGGACTAGAGACTGGATCAAGAACGACCGCATCCCATGTCATCCGGAACGGCAAGGTGACTTTCATCCTCACATCACCCTTGAGGTGCCTGGAACAGGGCTCAAGATTCAGCAAAGAAGATGAGCAGCTCCTACGAGAGATCCATGAGCACCAAGAGCGCCATGGTGATGCCGTCAAAGGTAAGATAGCATCCCCTATCGTCGTTCAGCATCCTTACTGACTTATCAACCCAGATGTCGCTTTCGAAGTCGACAACGTGGATGCCATATACTCCGCCGCCGTCTCATCAGGCGCAGCCACCATCTCAGCCCCCCACGACATCACCGACAGCTACGGCACCGTCCGCCTCGCCACCATCCGCACATACGGCGACACAACCCACACGCTCATCCAAAAGAACAACTACGCAGGCATCTTCCTCCCCGGCTACCGCCCCGAATCCACATCCGCCGACCCCCTCCAAAAGTACCTACCCCAAGTCAAGCTCGAAGCCATCGACCACTGCGTCGGCAACCAAGACTGGGACGAGATGGAAAGCGCATGCGAGTACTACGAGAAGGTGCTTGGTTTCCACCGCTTCTGGAGCGTCGACGACAAGGATATTTGCACTGAGTACTCGGCGCTTAAGAGTATTGTTATGAGCTCGCCGAATGATGTGGTCAAGATGCCTATCAATGAGCCTGCCAAGGGCAAGAAGCAGAGCCAGATTGAGGAGTATGTTGACTTTTACGGTGGGCCTGGTGTTCAGCATATCGCGCTACGGACTGACAATATCGTTCGCGATATTACCAACCTGAAAGCGAGGGGCGTGGAGTTCATCAAGGTGCCGGAGACGTACTATGACTCTATGAAGATGCGGCTCAAGAAGTCGGGACTCAAGCTGAATGAGGACTTTGAGGTGTTGAAGAGCTTGGATATTCTGATTGACTTTGATGAGGGTGGTTACCTGTTGCAGCTTTTCACGAAGCATTTGATGGATCGGCCGACGGTGTTCATTGAGATTATCCAGAGGAACAACTTCGATGGTTTTGGCGCGGGTAACTTCAAGAGTCTGTTCGAAGCAATCGAGCGGGAGCAGGACGCTCGGGGTAACTTGGTTTGAGCGGCGCGTCGTGTCGATGGTGGGTCGTAGCATTTCCTGGCGTTCATCTCGTTCCTAGCGATCCGTTCGTAGGCCATTCTTCGGGCTCTTAGCACATTCTCAGTCAAATACACACAGTAATTCATATCGCAAAGTTCCGCCCCTCTTACTAACCCGCGCTGACTCACACTGCCCACCCCGTCTCACCCTGCAACGCCACGCGCCCCAACGTCTCGAGACGCGTTTCACCCCCTGCCCCTCATCGTCGTCAACACCACCACGCATCGAAACGCACATCCACGCATATCACACCCAGCCAAGCATATCCGCCCTCGAAAATCCGGCCGAAAGCGCGCTTGCCCAGTGCAGCTCACACCTTGCCGCGACGTCTTGACCCAGCCAAGCCACACCCGCATTACAGGGCGAGCAAACCGCCAACAACGCCATTGCAAATCCCGTGACAAACATACCTTCGGTCTTTGCGGATTCCGGTCGCGGATGGTTCATCGCTGCTTCGGCAAGTGCGTTGTCTGTCTGCATGATTAGTATGCTGAGGCCGTGGAATCCGTGGAGATTGGGTATAAAGCGATAGGTCATCGCACTGTTGTAGGGCACAATGAGAGTAGCGCCGACTTTTGCTTTCTGAAGCTGACGGCGAAGCTCTGCCGGATGGTCGCTTTTCGAAAGGAACCTCTGCTTCGACACTCTTTTCTTCTTTAGAGGCGGACCTCTGCCGATTTGGCTCGTCGCGAGCAAATGCGCATAGAAGTCGCCGCGCCTTTTGTCCCCGGATCTGGATTTTGAGCGAAGGGAGCGAGAGGACGTCACGAGATCTTTTGGGCATAGTCTCACGAAGGACATCCTCAAAGCTTTAGCGCGAACCAGATCACCATAGATCGCATGCACGCAAGATCTCTAGCTTAGCGCTTTATCAGAGTCATGAATTCGTGATATCTATAGTCTAGCAACACATCGGGATCTACCGACAAAGATGCAGTGAAAGTTGAGACATGATGATGATGATAGGCAACGGGTGAACATGACATTATGCACTAAAAAGAAGAGATGACCACGTAAAGAATGAATGGCTGCCCCATTTAAGTAATTCTTGTTTCAGTTTAACATGTGCCGTCATATACGTTATGACGCCTAGTGTTGTTCCCATACTCGTACAGTTGATCGTTCTGCCAGGCTGTTGTAGCAGATCTTGTCTAGACATGAAGGAAAAGCGTCGCGCGTAGTGCAGAAGAGCTTGGCGACGCTGAAGGCCAGTGGGTACTTCGAAAGAGTAACCCATGACGAGCGCGCTTAGGCGAAGGCTCCGACAATAGACATACCAGCTGCGCCCATAAGGACGTAGATGAATGCATATGTCTTGGTGCTGCCGGTCATTGTGTGCTGAGCCTCCTCGGAAAGGAAGTCCTCGGCCAACAGATCGACAAGCGCAGCATAGATCAGAAGACCGGACGAAATGGCGTTAAACACTCCGACGATGATCAGACCAAATGCCGAGTTGGGGTCGTAAGATCCACGAGTAATGAGTCCGATAGCCTGGCCAATGGGCGCGGTGGTACCGAAAGCAACAACGAGAGCCCAGGGCTTCCAGCTGTTCTTGGGGTAAGGAACATCCGCGATACGTGTGCCGAGACCGAGACCCTCAAACATCTGATGGAAGACGATGGCGATGAGCAGGATGATGAAACCCTCGGCTGTGATGGAAATGGTCATGCCGACGAAGACGGAGTGGAACAGGATACCACCCTCGATGAGCGTGATCTGCATGGACTGCTTCTTGAGGACAAGAGGATCGACAGCCGCCTCGACGTCGTCGTCAAAGTACGAGTTGGCCTCTGGTTGATGAGGAGCCTGTTGCTGCTGGTAGGATGGCATAGGAGGCATGGCGCGGTTGATCGTGGCAAGCATCTCGTCGCGCTGGCGCACGTATTGCTCGTAGAAGACGATGAACCATGGTGGCATCTCGGACTTGGCCTCGAGCTCGTCGCTGCCGCTCTTGGGGAACGGGAAGTTGTCCACGGGGTAAGTTGACTCCTCGACCCATCCTCGCTTCTCGTCGCGCTGAGCAAGCATTGTCTTCTGCGAATCGTAGCTCTCGACTCGTCGGATGGGGTTGTTGAAGGCTGCCTGGATGCCAGTGGTGGAAGGGTGGGCGTGTTGTGCACCGTTGAATGCCTCTCCTGTCGCGCCACCGTGGCTGTGACCGCCAGTCTTTGCGTGAAGCCACATCTCAATCGTGAAGAGGATGAAGAGCGAACCCATCATGATCACACCTGGTAGAGCAGGGTAATCGTCGGTGAATAGATCCGGTAGGCATGGGTCGTTGAGCGACGCAAAGGCGGTCGGCAATAGATGGACGAAGGCAGTAGCGATTAGAACACCAGTACCAAAGTGCTTGCAGAAGAAGAAGACCTTCGGTGGGATCTTCATCCACTTGACCTTCTTTGCCACTACTGGAAATCCAGCACCGAAGATGGAAGCGAAGAACACAATGACTAAGAAGACGTTAGTGGTGTACTATGATCAGCATGGATGTACTTACAAACTGCAGCAACGTGCAGAGGAAAGTCATAGACGGCAGCATCCGCCTCGCTGCCGCACTGAGGCTTCTCCGTGTCGGACATGGCGAAGATTACAAAGAATGTATGTTTAGTTCAAGGAATGTGTGGAATAATCCCAGACTTGCCAGCAGTCCCGTCGCCGGCGACGATGAACAAGAAGAAAGAGACGAAGAAAGAAAGGAAGTCAACACACTCTCTCAAAGAGTAACAAGAACTGAAAACGCACAGAAGTGATGTTGTGAATATGGGCAGCAGGCTCGGCACTCCAGACTATGTATTGCTTTAAGGGCCAGTAGGATAAGAGACACTAACCGCATCATGCAGATCTGCACGTCTCCAGAACACCTGAAGACGATAGTGGGACCTCGATACAGTGGCCTGTGCCTCAGCTATCGCCTGCAGTGATAGGTGCTCCAAGCAGCAAACGCGGAGGTCCAGACGGTGTCAGGACCAGCCAGCCTTGCGCCGAAGACGAAAGAAGCATTGCCATGAGGTTTCCAGGCAGGAACTGGAATTGCCTGCGCCCAGCCTTCGAAGCTCATTGGAGACGGCTGTCATGCGCGTAGATGCTTGGCAGGCACGCTCGATCTGCGAAGGGGTGGGGATGTGATGCGGCTCAAGTCTCGTTTCCGGCGAGTGGGCCAAGCGAGTGGGACAGCTGACGAAGTGTGGAGGTGCGAAGCATTAGGGGTGAGGCTTGACTGCTGCCATCTGGTGCAGCTGGAGTTCGAAGTGGCTCAGCATGCCGATGTCGTTGGCCAATGGGCCGTTTCGCGATTGCGTTGACGTGTGTGGGCCAAGCTCGGCTTAGTTTCGTGCCGTAGCGATAAGCTTGGCATGGGCCGACTCGGTGAGTTTTGAAACCTGGAGATGTAAAAGAAAGTCGTCGTGGGGATATAGATGGCGTCCACTATGGCCCCACGCTGCAGCCGATGCAATCCTGCCGCGGCGATCACTGCGTTCCAAGGCTGCGCTATCTGTCAGGCGTGTGACGATTTTAGCCGGAGGGAAAGAATAGCCAACCCTGGAGAACTTGCGACGCGTCTTCCGAGTCATCAAACCACCGCACCAACAACAATTCCATCAAGCCCACCTCAAGAATGGAGATGGGTGTGTGGGGACGCGTTCGTCCACAGATGACAAGCTTTTCAACGCGTCTTAGCATCGTAAAAGTTCCGGTCAGTTTAGATCGCCGCTAACATCTCCACGTTGTACACGCGTGCGCGGGCATTTTCACCACGCCTCCGCGCATGCAGACAGCCAAGCCTTATAAGGTATCAAGATAAGGCCAAGCTCATCAAGTCATACCATAACAGGTATCACGGCTAACCCGCCATGTACTAGCGAGCCGTTGGAAATGCTTAGCGAGTTTCATGCTCCGTGCCCAGCATTCCTACACCTGCACCAACGCGCAGTATTCACACAATGTGGCACCGAGTAAACGATCTGGCCATTCCACTATGACTTCAGGGTTCAGAGAAAGAAACTCCTGCGGAGGAGGGCGGGAAATGCGCCGCGGTGGCGTTGGCAGCGGTGCTTTATTACATTGCATGCCCTGAGCTGAGGCATATATCACCCACTTCGTAACTCGCACACCGTAGCAGATCCTAGAGATCGCCCACACACACACATACGCGTCCCTCAGCCCATTGTCCGGACACCATGACTTCCGATCTTCACAGTATGTCTCAGGCAACCCAAGCCCGTGGTTCTCTTGTCTGACCGTCCGTCTAGCTTCACCTAATGGCCCATCACACGACCAAGCTGCTGGGCAAACAAGCGCTCCAGTAGGCTCTGGCACTACGCCTTCGTCAAACCAGGCCAATGTCGGCGCCGAGCATAGGACAGATGCCATTGAGCGGCTGTCATCTGTAGACAATGCATCGTCGCGGGGAGCCAAGGACGATGTCACCATCACCGTCCACAACGATCCACTCGATCTCCGCAAACACATGCGCGACGATGTGACCCAGAAACAGATGAAGAGTGACTATCCACTCGCCAAGCCCAGGCACATGAAGAAGTTCTACACAAGACAGAATGCTTTGATCGACCAATTTCTTCAGAGCGGAGATGAAGAGCGCTTGGCTGCTCTTGACATGGTCGAGAATGGACCCAAGGTCCGCTTCGCCGTGAACGCTTCCTTCATCGTCAACTTCTGCTTGTTCATCATTCAGATGTATGCGGCCATCTCCACAGGCTCGTTGTCGCTGTTTGCGACAGCTGCAGACGCCTTCATGGACTTGGTCTCGTCGGTGGTCATGCTCATCACATCTCGCATGGCAGCCCGGCCAAGCGTTTACAAGTACCCCGTGGGGCGGACGCGTATCGAGACGATCGGCATCATCATGTTCTGCTGTTTGATGACGACGGTAGCCATCCAGCTCATCGTAAGTACTCCTTCCCGTGTGCCCGGCTCAGCTATTGACATGTAACAAGATCGAATCTGGGCGTTCCTTGGCTGGCGGTGCCACGGAATCGGAGGAGCTCCACATCATCCCCATCGCCTTCGTTGCGACAGCCATCTTCTGCAAAGGCTCACTATGCGTCTACTGCTTCATCTATCGGCGTTACCCCGCTGTCCACGTCTTCTTCATCGACCATCGCAATGACATTGTCGTCAATGCCTTTGGTCTTGCCATGTCAATCGTCGGTAGCCGCGTGGTCTGGTATGTCGACCCTATCGGTGCTATTCTCATCGGTCTTTTGATCTTGGTTTCCTGGGCTGCCAATGCCTTTGACCACGTCTGGCTGCTTGTTGGCAAGTCCGCACCCAAGGACTACATCAGCAAGTTGATCTACATGGTTGTCACACACGACGACAGGATCCAGAGAGTCGATACTTGCCGCGCGTACCATGCTGGGCAGAACTACTACGTCGAGGTAGACATCGTTATGGATGAGGGTCTGCCGCTAAAGGTTACCCATGACGTCTCGCAGACCCTTCAGAGGAAGCTTGAAGGTATGTCTCAGTCACTCACTTACATATACCACCTAATACTAACACGCGACAGGTCTTGCCGATGTTGAGCGAGCCTACGTGCACGTCGACTACGAGAGCGAGCACGACATCTTCGAGGAGCACAAGCCCCTCTACGAAGTCACGCAGTCGAAGACCATCAAGGAACGCGTCAAAGCTTTGCGCTACTTGTTCAAGAAGAACGAGAAGGGTGCTTAAGCATCTATACCTGTATACCATGTATTTCTACGGTGCCACTAGCATCAAAAGTTCACGTTTTCCATTACCTCATTTATACCCCGGCGCAGCAATATACAAAGCCGCTGTTGTTACTGTTACTGCTACTGTTAATGCGAATGTTATTGTTAATGAGACACATTGTCTTAACCCTAGAGCTGTCGTCTGCATCGTGTCTCTCCTTCTTCATCTTTCTTTGTCTTAAGCCTTTGACACCCTACAATGATACTGAAACCACTGTTAGACAGCCACTACCTCTTTCTCTCAACTTTTTGTCTCTTCTCATCATTGACCTTACCAGCCAAACCTCCGCCTTCTTCTAGAAATCTCACGCCCACATCCCCCGCTTCCTAGTTCACATATCTATTTACGCATCTTGATATTCTAGCAACCCACGATATGTCTCAACCTTCACTTTCTCCCAGTCTAACACTTCTAGACTCCGAGATTACTTATGAACAACCAGCTTCACCAGCAACTGCCCTGTCCGATCACTCCGATGAGACTGGAATTACTCATAAAGAACCATCATCAGGAACAGCCGCATCAGACCACTCCGATGACACCGATGACACTGAAAGCACTCACGAAGAACCATCATCACCAGTAACAGCCCCATCCGACCACTCTGATGGCACAGTCGACGCCGCTGACGCCGCTGACGCCGCTGACACAAAGGCCCTTCCCACCAAAGACGAAACAAAAGAGCGTAGGCCTCTAAGCAAAGTACAAGAGCTAGCAGCTTGGTATGATTCACAGGCGAACGGAAACTTGCGATTACAAGTCTTAACTTGGGATGGAAAAGCGTGTGAGGTGCCTAAGAATGAATGCAAGAAGTCTAAGAAGTCTGCGCAAGCGGAGTAGGGGTTGATCTAGCAAGGCACGATAGATGGTTTCGTTGGTGGTAGGAAATGCGAGGGGATGGGCGGGTCAGATAGATGTCTGCTTCTTCGAAGAGCGATGGGCGTTGGGTTGGCTTGTAGAGTGACAAACCATTATTTTACCAGCTTGATCGCGTGGTAGTACTCGTGTTCTTCTCATGCATAAAACGCTCTCTTCATCCCAACCTTGGCAAACGCACTATCACAATGTTGTACTGTTCAGGCGTGTCACGAAGAGACTACTAGGCAAAGCTATACGGCTAAGCGGTGTGGGTTCAAGTTGGGGGATTGTATGAAGGTTGTTAGGGCTTGTGCTGAGGACTTGCGCGGCGGGATTGAGGGAGGGGAGGGGAGAGGTGGGCTGTATTTTTTTTTGAATTCCCTGAAGCAGGTTCATTTCCATTATGATGTTTTTGAAGTACATGATTTCTCCGAGCTAAGCCAGCGGCTCACATGCTGAGCTGGTAGACGAAGGACAGGGATGTGCGCGTTCACCTTGAACTCATCGTCTCCATCATTTCTTGCGCTTTTAGTCTGCTGAACATAGAGCTGTGCTCGTGCCGCGCCAAACAAACAACCCTCACAGTCAAGTCGTTTCACCGGCCTTCTTGTGCCCAACCCAATGCGATATGAGGACAGTTTCACCGTACTCACTCGTTTCCGCAAGAACTTCAGGGCACCACGCTTCTTTTGCGAGGATACCCCACGCGCCTGTGGACCAGAGCGAATCATTTAGAGCCCCAGCGCGGCTGTCATGAAGGCGGACATCTTCCTTGTCGAAATTGATGTAGACCTTGACAGCGCCATCATCCAAGGGCAGCCATGCACCTCCATCGCAACGAGCGGCTTCGGAGCGGGCTTCGCGGTTGACGAAAAAGTGTGTAGGGTAGCCTCGGCTTGTATTGACGTAGAAACCATCTTGGCTCCTGAACAGGGTGACATTGTTCTCTATGCGATCGAATATCCAGACGAGAGAGTCCTTGCGAGGACGCTCCTTATATTGATCTTGAAGTGCGATAGCCCAAATATTGACACGAATCTCGGCAGGCAGGCGGGAGAAATGATGGAAAGTCGGCTTTGGCAAGAGTTCTTTGGCTTCTGTCGATGGTTCTGGGTCGATAACGATGGGGGTGAACCGCTGTATCCAATCCGTTATGTAACCCCTGCCCATGGTGAGACCGAGATTGATATTGACGATCGGACCTGATCCCCGCATGCGATCGTGGCGGCGGACAAAGGTTAATAGAAATGCGCGTGGAGACAGTCCGCCTGGAGAGTAGTTTGGTCGCTCTCTTGAAGCAACGACAATATCCAGGTGTAGATGAGCAGTTTGCAATGAGTGAGAGAGCGCAGGATTCTCCGTGTAGCGAGATCGCCTCTCACCAAAAGTAAAGGCAGGAGCGTTTGCTGGTGCACGTGACGCCAAGCCCGGCGTCGCCATGACGTGATGAGGCACAGTCTCGCGACTTGCTCAAATCCACCTCGCTGCGCAAGCTCTCGCTACCCACCTGAAATAGATCTCTATCAGCTTCATCCCGCCAATTCTTGGACACTGGCCATGACGCGCACGTCTTTTCGGGTTCACGACCGAAGAACCCGCCAGAGTAACCCCAATGATGAGAGTGAGAGTGCAACCAGAGCGACACTGCTCTTCCGGACTGCCGAATGAGTCGTTGACCTTTCTCATCAGGCGTTCGTCTCTTACTCATGACGAAGATGTGATCTGATAATCAACCAAGCCCCAGACTGGTGTGCGGCTTACAGCTCTAGCTCGCGAGCGCTGGTACCCAGGTATTATCATATTTGTTGGATACTTACTGAAGGTGTTAGTCAGTCCCAAGATGGATGGCTACAAGACCTACGAGTCTGATAACTCTATCACTCTGCGAAGAGACACCGAGCAATGTCCTCCCAACAACCTCCGCTTTAGTGGCCCAATGATGGCATAGCAGCTTCCTCGGCGGTCGTAGCTAGCCATTCTTTGATGATGTTTAGTAATTTCGATCCAGAAGACAGCCACGATTGACTACACAGGCGGACTTGGATACTGAGCCGCCGGGTTATCCGGCGAAGACCTGTGGCCCGCATTCGACGACGCCGGACCTGTCGCCGCCAGCGCAAAGTACGGATTATCCGGCATAGACATGCGCTTCGGCATGATACTCGCCAAACTCGGCAACGTAATCTGAACCCTCGTCTCCGGCTTCGGATTAAGCTGAATCAGTAAATCCGCCTCTTTAATCTCCCTCAGCACATCTTCAACGTCACGCCCCTTCCTCACCCTTCTCAGGAGCTCATAAGACTCGCTGTCAGAGCTCGTCCGGATCAACTTGAACAATTCGACATAGGCTTCGTTCTCGGCTTCCAAGGCATCGTATTTGCGTTTCAGTGCTTGGCCCTGGGTTTCGGATGACCGGGTAGCGTAGTGGCAGGATGTTGTCCGCTTGACGCATTCGATACAGACAGGTCGCTCGCCGTTACATTTGATCTTCCTCGCGCGACATTGGTCGCAAGCAGACGCGACGCGATCACGAGGTAAAGGCGGGAGAGGCTCATTGCGCGGGCGAACAGCAGACGGGAGGAGCGGTCTGAGTGGACGCATCGTTTTCGAAAGGGGGGGGAAAGCAGGAAGAGGTCCGCGGAGAGAACCCTCAAAACCGAAGGCTGGGAATGAGAAATGCGATCATGGTGGGCCCCAAAAACCCGGTCATCCATCTTTTAAGGTAATGATGGAATTTCTCGAATATCGATGCTGCGGAAAGACCAGGCCTAAATGGATCTCGATGGTAATTGGAACGCGGCAACTTAGCCCGCCAATCGGAAGTCGGGGTCGCGATTGGGTACGTAGCCGAACTTCATCTTTTGCGCAGCAGCTTTTCTACGTGAGGGAATGCGAATCCGGCGACTGCCATTACGTGCCGTCATCTTGGTGTTCGCACGGCTCGTTTAATATGCGTCTTGGTACTATACTTCATCGAAGATGCCCATGTATCCGCCGCAAGCACTCCAGCACTGGCATGGCATCATCCCGCTCTTTGGAAGACCTACTCCCATCTGATTGGCGACGGTACAATAACTCCGTGTGTATTTCTCATTCGTCAACAAGCACATATACTAGAAAGAGATTCGATGGTGTACTGTAGCAGATGCAATGGTCGTTCCACATTCGTCCTACTAACGGTGCACCTGCAGCTGTGCAAGCAGGGCTTTACTCCGGTTAGCCGCATCGAGATTTCTGCGGCTGCATCTGCATAGACAGCAGATTATTTGTTCTCCACCGCAATAGTCTTGGTCTCGTATCATGACAGTCCTCGAAAAGCTACCTACGGCCGCGGTTCTGCATTATACGCATGGTTCAAGGTGGAATTACCTCCTTGGGGTAATCCAGACGTCAACGCAGACACAGATGGGGTATGCCTTAGCGTATGCTAGTGTGTGTCGGACCTGTACTTCGAAAGGTGAGGGCTGCATGCTACCGATGAGGAAATGGGTCGCACCGGAGCGTCGTCCGCAGCTCAATTGGTTGTTCTCAGCAAGCGTACGGCGGATGGAGCGTGCGACACGTAGTGGCATCGCTCGGAGACAGAGGCACGCGCTTCCAGATGAGGTTGGTAAGCTGGGAGTGCGCTTCATTGGCTGGGAAGTCTTCCCGCAGACCCTGATCTACGAGCGAGTGAACACCGTCATTGTTGTTTACGCTGCTGTGATTTCATATCTCACGACATTTTGACGATGATGAGTCCAGAAGTTGAGTCGATAGTGCCTTGTGATCTCTACGTTGGAAACGGCACGAACCGATACAGCGAATTAAGTAATCGGGATAGTTTCTCATTCCGCCGCATGCAACTTGTGGCTTGAATTATTATGGAGCGAACGCTACGTTATTCGGCCCGCACACGCACATGGTCATCGGTGAACAAGGCCGTTCCAGTCGTGTCTTTTCCGTGACCCTCTGGTTGAGAGATATTGCATGGAAAGAATGAGTCAAGCAGATATACCATGAAACTCTGTCGGAGTATACCCCGAGTTTACGATAGCTATCCATTCTACCTGGGCAGCACGCCTCTAAACGGCGTGATGTCATGACTCGCAAGAGTGAGGTTCGATGTTTACTTTTGCTCGTCGGCTGTCGTCTGCGCTACAGATAACCGAGATCTCAGGGCTGAACAGGTTGGGGAACAACGTTGTTGATCTTGGGGCGGCCGGCTCCGTACCCGTACTGCCAAGGGCCGCGGTACCCGAGGGTGTTGATGAGGCTCTGATTGAGCTTTTTGGAATGAGTCGACCGAGGTGTTGAAGTTGGGGTTACGTTGCATTATTGTCATCAACACCATAGCATCGTTCTAGCGGGTCTCTTTTTCTCGAATGTCCTACGGCTTACTAATATGAGTTTATTCCTTTGCCATGTATTGTATGGTATCACTAACCAATGTTGCCAAGTATCTGATCATCAAGGTATTCACGAAAGCCTCATCGTGAGAACACCAATCAAGTTTGAGCGGGATAGGTTGAAGGATAGTGTGTTACTGATGCACCTTCTTGAGGCACTAGGCATGCCCGAGAACGACATCAAAGCTATCGCAATGCCACCGTGTACCATATTCTTTCTCAATGACCAACTAGAACCGAGATCAGGCCCCATTATGAGCCAAAGACAGACTCTATTATTCACAGAACCTAGACAATTCCGACCCTCATCATTCATCATCCCCAATCCTTCATTCAAATCGCCGAACCCTTACAAAACCTCAAAGCTCAACTTTGATTCCTCCTCCCACTGCTTCGCAAAATTCTTCAATACCTCGGTCCTCTTCCTCGCCATCTGTTTCCCCGTCTCTGTCTTCATCATCCCCTCCAAATTCAACAACTTGTCCTCGAAATGATCAATCGCCCTATCCATAGGCTCCCCGGGCATCTTAGCCGCCCCATAGGAAAAACAACGTCCAATCCCCACTGCACCAATAGCATCAAGACGATCTGCATCCTGTACAATTGCTAGTTCAGGATACGCTGCTAAGACACCCGCGGTAATAACGGGCTCGCGTATCTCGTGTGAATAGGATACGTGATTAACGATATTGTCTACCACCACAGCCAGTTCGTAGTTTGAACCATGGTCCTTCAAGATATCCAAAATTTGCCTCTCGGCTTTTTGGCCTGGTCTGACGTATTTATGGTCGCCTACGTCGTGTAGAAGGGCGGCTAGGAAGAGGGCTGTGGTGTCGTAGCTGACGGAGGGGTCGCGAATGAGCTCGGCTTGAAGAATGCGGTTTGCGTTTGAGACGACGCGGAGAATGTGGTTGTAGTCGTGCGAGTTGTCATATTTTGACATGTAGTTGTGGACGAAGGCGTTGATGGAAGCGAAGAGGGGTTTGTACTCTTCGTGTATTGGGACTTGAGGCACTGGGATGGGGTTTGTGGGTTGAGGCGCCATGGTATGAGTTATGGGGTGGGTAGGAGGGTCGATGTGGTTTAAGCACTGATATTGCTCTCGTATAGAAATCCTCTCCAGTGTTCGCACACGTAGATTAGGAAGTGACGAGCGAGTGGAAAATTCCGATCTGGACACGACGCAACGAAACAGGGCTCTGTGATGCTTGAAGGAAGGGTGTCTGTGTACTTTAAAGGGCTGAGAGACGTGTAACGCGTTTTTCTGCCCACGCGGAGTCACATGATTGGCGACTTTCGTCCCTGAGACCAGCCGTCGCCCCTTCCATGCTCTCTCAAACATTCTGAATGGCATCAGTGAACATGACATTCCATATGAGATGCAACCATCTCTCTAAAACTGGCTTAGAACGAAAAGGAACAAATAGGAGTTCACTCATGTCAGTGCAGGTGGAGACGAACATCCGGGGTAGCTGAGCCGCAGCAGCCTCGGTACTTGGGCGGTTGGTAGCGCACGCGATAATGGAGCCATGATCTCACCCTCGCCCATCGCTCCTATCTACACACACGTGCACTCGGACACCACGACCACATCCACGTCGCGCAATCGCATCATCTCGGCGCGTCAGCTGGGGCGACTGCAGACATGTACAGGCAGGCGACGCAGAAAACGGGCGAGGTGCTGTCCATGCCGTCGCAGTGGCTGGGCATGTACTCCGACTTCATCACCAAGAACAGCAGCGCCGTCACCCAGATTGAATCCGCACTGCGGTCACTGACATA